ATGTGCTTGACACAATGGATGGATGTATGGATTGTGATGAGAATTGTGCGAGCCCCCAATAAAATATTTTTTTAATTAAAAAAAATAAACCAACTGCCATCAAGTAGATTTCCACTCTTGATGACCCTGGTTTTCCAGAATTAGCTTTTTGTAGCTGTGACCTTTTGGGAGCAGGTCGCCAGACCTTTCTTCTAGAAGCTTCTGAAGGGAAGGTTTGAGTCACGCCCCCTTTTCTGCCTTCCTGTTGTTGTGTATGCCATGTTTCTTCCATGTGTGGACAGAGAAGAGGTGGAGGTAAGGACAGGGTAGCGAAGGCACAGAGGCTGAGATTAAGCTGTGTGCCTGACTGCCCTTTCCACCCCGAGGCAACAAGGAACACCACTCAGAATCCAAACCTAACCCACTGCTGTTGTGTTGACTCCCGCTCACAGCCACCCTGTTGGCCCCGTCAGGTATGTGTTGTATTGCTAGCCACAGGGTTGGCAGTTCAAATCCACCAGCGGCTCTGGAGGAGCCAAATGAAGCTATCTGCTGCAATGACCATTCACAGCCCCAGGGACAATGCATATGCTGCCTGTGAGTCAGAAGCAACCCATTGGCAAAGGGAGGAGTATAATGGGCACTAATAAATATCTGATTCATTAAACTAGATTCGGTTAAATCCTTGGGACAGCCCACAACTAGACCCTGTACCCTTTCCCTATAGACCAGTGGTTCTCAGGGTTCCCAATGCCGTGACCCTTTCATACAGTTCCTCATGTTGTAGTGCCCCCCAACCATGAAATTATTTTCATTGCTACTTCATAACTGTCATTTTGCTACTGTGATGAATCGTCAGGTAAATACCTGATATGCAGGATGTACTTCCATTGTTACAAGTTGAACATAATTAAAGCATAGAGATTCATCACAAAAACAATATGCAATTATATCTTGTGAAATATTTATTTCTAATGACAAATCAATGAAATATTGTCTTGAAGCATGGGTAACAGTCTTCACGCTGAGTACTCCTATGTGAGCGTATCTGCATGTGGACGGACCGCCTGGAGACGGATGGAGGAGCGGTGTATTGGTTCCTAAGACCAGCAGTTGAGAACCGCTGCTATAGATCATTCTGTAATTTTGTTGATCCCACCAAGATTCCCATTACACACACATACCACATACACACACTCCAGAGCCACGCATCCAACCTCCAGGAGTCCTGTTAAGAAAGCACCAAATGAATCCTGTTTCATTTATGCTGAAACAGGGCTGTCTTAATTCATTTTGCTACTTAAAAAATAACATTAAGGGCAGGGGAGTAGACAGCAAATGATTTGAAAATGATGATGGCCACAAATGTACAAATGTGCTAGACATAATGAATGGATATATGGATTGTGATGAGTTGTATGAGCCTCCCTATAAAATGATTTTTTTTTAAATGAAAGTAACATTTTAAAAGATAGCACTAACCCCAAAGTGTTGGGTATTAGCTGCAAATATGGTTGGTATTTGGTACTGTCATAATCACTCCAGGTGTGAGTGGGGAGCGGGGCATCTCTAGGGAGGGGGACAAAGCGTTGAGTAGATGGGGCAGGTGTAAGGCTTTGAGCTCAGTCCTCTCTGTTTGGTCTGAGCATACCTTCTCTAACTCTTTCTCTCCCCAGCAGACAGATCCACCTGAAGACTTTTCGTCCATCTGTTGGGGAGACTTCAGCTCCCAAAGGCATGCAGGGGAACATGCTTTGGGTAACTCCCTGGAGAATGTTCCAACACTCCCAACAAAGAGGTTCCACTGGGCTCCCTCCTCAAAGTAAGCACAAAGACAATGGCTTTTCAGATCTAGCAAAACCAACCTGTATTTAGTTATGCCCACTCTTGTTCCAAAAAGAAACGGAGCTCTGAATATCACCATATCATGCAGTAGACAGCAGGCTATTTTTCCACGAACATGTGTTTATTGAACAAATATTTTGGCAAAGGTACTGAAAATGTTATTGCAGTAATTCATCCTCCTACCGCTCACGCAGAGCAAACGTTCGCTATTTTTCCATATTTCATTCGGCCTTCTTCTTGTAACTAGTTTCCATGTTGCTACATGGAATTTTCCTGGAATATAATATTGCAACAACCAACTCTATCTTGCCAGAGTGCTGATAGCTGGGAAATCAATGACACTGGTCTCCCATTCCACCAGAAGGACGTTCCAGTAGAGCATCCAATCAGCAGCCTCCTCAAGGCCTTTTGGCACAGGTTTGGCCAATCACAGCACTCTATTCCTCGGGCCCTAGAGAATGGCTCATGAATAAACAAATCACTCCAGCCTGGGCGGCCCTTTCCCTCTCACAATAGCAGAGTTTTGTGTTGAGTCCAACTCACAGTGACTTTAATAGGTCAAGGTCGAGCGTCCCTGTGGGTTTCAGAGACCGTAAATCCTAACAGGAGTAGACAGCCTCATCTTTCTCCCGCTGTGACCTTGAGGCCAGCAGCCCAAGGTGTAACTCACTACACTCCCAGGGCTGCTGGCTTCTAAAAAGCAAAGGCATTCTGTCCTCCAAGATCACAAACAGTAGATCCGGTTAATGGAGCAGCCATCTGTGCTTCGAAGTCCCACTCCCGACAACTGGAAGAAACCAGTCGACCATGGGAGAAAATGAGCCAAGAGACAGGGGAGGAAGTTGACACTCCTCTCGCCTTCCCAGTGACCTGAGCCGCTACATCCCCTTTTGCCATAAAGCAAGTGAGCTGAGTTTCTGTCACCAACTGCTGAAGGAATCTTGGCCTTTCCCGAAAGCAGGGCATTGGGGTAACGTCCAGTTTTTTACCATGATAAATAAT